CGGGGGGGCTGGCTCCCCAGTCCCTGCCCAGCGGCTGCTGGGAAAGACCAAGCATCCGGCCAGGCCGAGGGAAGGACGCCGAAACCCCGGTGCCTCCGCCCGCCCCACTCGTGTCTACTGCAGCCCCGGGCAGCCTGGCCGATGCGGACACCTCATCTTCCCTGCGGCTCTTGGATGCTTCTCTCCCATCCGTGCCTCTCGGGGGAGGGGAGGTTAGGGACCATGCTCGGAGGCCTGGCTGGCTGGCAGCAGGGATGTGGACTGGGGCGCTGGGTCCCTCCCAAGCCCCCATGCTCCCAGCACACACATTAGGGGGAAGATGTAGGCCAAGGAGCCCTGGTCTTAGGGAACCTTTAATCTGTAAGAAGCAGCCTTCACGGGGTTAGGAGTGGAGACGGACCGGCTGTGCTTGAAGAGGTGAGGCTGCCTCTGGGGGGTCCACCTGTCAGGGGAATCCAGGTCCCAGGTTGAGATCGGACTGCGTGACTTTTAAAGTCAGAGATTCCAGGCGTCCGTGGCTCTCCCTGTTGTGCCTGGAACCAGGCGCGGGTGAGAACGGGGTGCCTAGAGGAGGGGCAGGCCAGGCAGTCAGGGACACGTGCCCCCAGAGGACCCAGAGTGTAAAATCGGGACCAAAGCCAGTTCCGAGGAGGGAAAGATCTTCCCTGCTTGGGTAAGTCAGGAAGACTTCCTGGAGGAGGCGGCAGCGGGGCTCGCAGGAACGACGGGCAGCCTCCTTTGCTCCAACTACCAGCCGGCCCGCACGTGCGGGTGCACACGGCCGCGGCGACTCCATTGGTGCTACCGGTTCCACAGCCCAGCAGCCAACGCCAGGCCCGCCGAACATTCTCTGCCAACCACCTGGGCTCCTGCTGTCCTCTCCCTCCCCCTGGCCCACCCAGGAGAAGGCTGAGAGCTCCGTGCAGAGGGGAACGACCTGTGGTTACAGCTCTGCTGCTCCAGGGCACTTGGTCTCGCCACGAACTGCCTGCCCCTTTCCTTTCCCAACCAGGACCTCTTCCCTCCGAGAGGGCCCAGCTGCGCCCACGGCCAGAGGCGACAGCCGGGCTGCTGCGGGCCCGTCCCAGGAAGGCCCTCCTCCGGGCAGGGCGTTAGTGACCTCATGTTCTTCTGTCTCGTTCTGTCGGTTTTCCAAACTCTTCGTGCAAGGGTCTCACACTGTGAACCACGTGGGTGGGATGCGGTCGCCCTGGGCGGCCGGGAACCGGCCCGACTTCGGTTCGGTCCGGTCCGGTCCGGAAAGAATCTATTTGAGGATCCTCAGCTGTACATACGGCCCGTGTCGAACCTGCCCGCACCCACCGCGGCCACTTGTCTTACTGCCTAGAAAACTGGCCTCGTTCTTTCTGTGCGTGAGCGTCCCCGCGAGCCAGGCTTCTAAGGAGAACTACACGCCAACGACACGCGTGTCCTTCTGTTGCCGAAACAGCTGGCCCTTTTCCGGGAAGGCGCTGGATAGTGTTTTGTATGTAAACATGTCTTGTGTGCGTCACTGCGGACAGAGATCTATTTTCTATTTATTTATTATCTGTGCGCTTGGAGAAATCCTGGTCAGAGAAATGAAGACTGTTTGTTGTACATGTTGTCTGGGGGGGTCCTTTGTCGGCTTGAAAGTGTCCCCGGGCCTTCGCTGGCCTCAGAGCGCACGGCTCTGGGGGAGGAACCTCGCTGTCCCACAGTAAACGCGCAAAGGTGCCACCTGTCTGTCTGCTCGTTCTCTTTAAACTGCGTCTCATCGCCCTGGCCGGTGTCGCTCAGTGGATAGAGCGTCGGCCCGCGGCCTGAAGGGTCCTGGGTTTGATTCTGGTCAAGGGCACAGGCCCGGGTTGTGGGCTCGATCCCCAGTGGGGGGCGTGCAGGAGGCAGCCGATCCATGATTCTCTCTCATCGTTGATGTTTCTCTCTCCCTC